TTTGCACGATATTCTAATTATTAGAGTTTCACCTGTATATCTATATATATATATATAGCTATATATATCTATCTATATCTATATAGATAGATATATATAGCTATATATTTATATATATATGTCCAGCTTTGCTCTGTGTGTATGTATATAGGATAACACAGCACTTTTTGGCCCGTTCCATGCCCCAGAGCCCTCTCTTCCTCTCCTAGAAGGTGGCAGATCCGCCACAGGTTTGTTTTTTTTTGCCGGTTAGATGGGAGTTCTGGTTAGTTGAATACCGGATAACAGAGAGTTTACTATATATAAAAAATCCCTGACAGGGCCATGGGGATCCTGAAATACACTGTAGTAGCCTCCTCAGGCCGCTATACTGTGGGAGTTCCCTGTGCTGTAAAACACAGAAGGTTGCTTGCTGAGTATAGTGGCCATTTAGAGGGTGCCTAGTATTTCTTTGAATGAATACTAGGCATTCTCTGATTGGACGAGGTGGCCGTGACGTCACTGTCTTTTCGGGGGGAGACATTTAGAGAAGGATGATTACATTTTAGATAAGTTCTAATTATACATTTTGCAGGTGTCAACAACAAATTTTCAGGTAAAATCCTGGTGTCTTTTACAATATTATTTATAATAAATTGTTATCAGGCTAATGACAAAGTATAATGATGTACTATTCCTTTAACTGACGCATGTTTCAATCTTTAATTCAATTTTGGCTAAATGCGCTTTGTGGCTGATTTGCTTCAGTCAATATTGACGCACACTTACTGAACCCTTGAACACTTGTGGAGTACTGAAGACAAAAGGGCCCGTGTTTTGGGGCCTATTTGGGAGTTGATGAAAGAAATGCGGTGCTCGCTTCTGCTGTTCTTTAAACAGTAATATACGGCCCTGTAGTCAAAATCACGTCCTGGTTTGATGATCGTTACGTCTCGAAAGTGAACCATTATCCGTCCGGTTAAATCCTCGTCCTGAAACTCATATAAGTACTGAAGACTCCGTTTGTACTTAGTGTTCTTTATCAGCCAATCCATCACCACTGAAGTTTTCTTCAAGGAAAATTGTCCGCAGCCCAAAAGCTTCGCCGTTTCTTTTTGTTGTTTTTCGCTGAGAAGGCCGAACAGGAACTGTATTGTCAATTGCAAGTGTGACTTGTATTTCCCTTCTTCCAGTAATTTTTCGATTTGGGAACTCTTTGCGGAGGCCATTGACGTGAGCTTCAGTTTATTTCCCACCACATAATAGAGGGCGGCAAAGAACTCCTGGACGGTCAGGTGGATGAAGCTGTAACAGGTTTGGGTTTCGACGTCTCTTTGAAAAATGTTTTCATTGAGAAACAAAGTCTCAATGTCTGTCATTGAGAGTTGATGACTTCTAAGGTCATCTTCCCCAAAGAGGATCTTCTGACTCCAGATACCTTCGTTGGCTAATGCACAAATTTTCTTAAGGCATTTAACGACTGATTGGTTGGAATTACTAGTGTGGTATTTCATTAAACTCTTCAGGTACAACAGGTAGATGGACGTGGTGGTCTTGCAATCAATTTCTTTTAGTCTCTCTGCCATCTGTTGTTTTATTACAGTGCATACAATCCAGCAAGTAATTGGGATGGCACACATTGTGAAGAGGGTGTCGTTGTCCTTCACGATACTGAGAGCAAGGTCGGCTTCTTCTTTTTCTGTAAAGAAACTGTAGAAAAATAGCTCGCGGTCTCTCCCCGCGAACCCCAGAATCTCAACATATCGAGGACTTAGAAAACGTTCATTTAGCCGCTCCAGTGAGTACGGTCTTGTGGTGATGATTATGGAAGCTCCACCAAGGCAGGATTGCCTGAAGATACTGTTTAAAATAATTTCTTTACTGGTCTCCTGAAAAGGATCGTCGGAGACCTCGGTATCACCAAGCGAAGTCCATCTCAACTCATCGAATCCATCCACAAGAAAAAGTAGCTTTTGAGGGTCACCCAGGATTGACTTGAGAAGGTCTCTTTCGCAATTGACGTGGCAAGTTTGACGTAAAAGTCCAGCTAGGCTTATGCCACCACTTATGGTGTTAAGCTCCCTGCAGCTCATGTAAAATATGAAATTGAATTTGTCCTGGTAAAACTTCCCGGAGGCCCAGTCCAGAACGATTTTCCGGGAGGTCATGGTTTTTCCGACCCCGGCAGGCCCTTGCAGCACCACGACTTTGGGGACTATGCCAGCTTCGTCGGGATTGAACAGACCGTCTATGGTGATTGGGGAATATTGACTTGAAGATCGCTCATCCATTATCTCTAAATGCCTTTGGCCCAGGCTAATGATTTCATGTTCTCTTTCCTTTACATTCCGCTGTTTCTTTATCAGCAATAATTTGGTGTACCTCCCATCTAGACGGACAGTCTCTCCTAAGTAGGCATTTCCATCTCTATGATTCTGATACCGTTCCTTCATCAAAGTCATGTAACTTCTTCTGCAATCTGCTTCAGACCAATAAAATAATAAGAAATACCGTAATTAAGCCTCCATAACCATTTACTCTGCAACAGCCACAATATAAAGCCTGTGTAGATTGGCTTTCATCCATGTCAGAACTAGAAATTTACACATTGTACATACCCTCCATTCTGTTATCCAATGACTGTGTCTTTATCACACCTAAAACCAAAGTGGAAACTGTCAATATTGAAGTGTAGGTCTGGAGGAAAAAAAATGTTAAGGACATCTTTGCAATACATGTACAATTCTCCATGTTGTGTCCCATAAAAAATGTTGCAAGTGCAGAAAAATACTTGTCGATCTGTGTCAGGGAACCTGGGGGTGTTACCTCCCCGCAGCGTCAGCGGGCACGGCGCAGGGTACGGGTCTCCCTCCAGCCTGGCAATACCCCTGGTGCCCGGGTTGCTGGTGCACATGTTTGCTGGTGCACACCTCAGGTGTGGGCCTTACTGGGTGAGGTTCCCAGCCCACACATACCACCTCTCGCCTGCCATTGGCTCTTGGGGAGAGAAGCCTCCTAGTTGCCTCGGTGACAGGGGGGCAGACTTACACCCCCTGGCTATAAAAACCTGGCCGGAGTCCTGGCTTGCTGCTGAGTTATTCCACTTTATGGTGTGACCGACAAAGCTCCCTTTCCTGTGTGCCTTACTGCCTGTTTCCTGAACCCCCATCTGATCTTCCGTGTACCGACCATGGACCGACCACTGCCTCTGACCCTTTGCTGCCTGTCTCGACCCAGATTGAACCTGACTACCCCTTTTGGATTGTCCCTTTGTACCTTGCCTTCGGAACTTTCAGGCTGCTTCCTGCCAGTGGGTTTCCTGCACGCTGCCGGCCCGCAGGCACGTCTGATAACGCCTGACAATCTGCCAGACGTCCAGTGTGCTCCTAATTTCCTGTTTGGTCTGACAACTCAAAGCTTGCGCCGTGCTGAAATTCCAACCAGCGTTGTCAGCCCTGCCGGCTGGACTACAGATCTCCCCCCTATCCCCACTTCTCTCCATCTTTCTCTACGCTCATAATTTATGCCTTTCCTAGAAAAGCAATGCTGCTGCCTTAGCACCAAAGACCCTGGCCACATACAGTGTGTTTAGGGAAAGGGCTCTTGGGAGATGTAGTTCTGGCGGGCAGGGCCAGATTTCCCACAATGCCAACCGGCCTTGGGGCAGCAGGGAGTAGAGGGGCAGCAGGGGTGTGGAATTCCTATCTCCCGATGCCCGGGACATGCAGTTCTGGGCACCAGGCAAGTAGTTGTTTTCTACCTTTAGTCCTGCTTTGGGCAAGCAGAGATAAATGTAGAGCGGGAAGCCGCCGCTTGTTTTGTTCAAGTGACCCTGTTGATGTCGCCGAGATCACTTGTATGCAGCCTGCAGGTCTGCAATCCTCTATGGTAGGGTAGGTTTGACAGGTAGGGGGGCGCATTGAGGAACATGGCCTTGGGGCAGCAGAGAGAGTAAATCCGGCCCTGCTGGCGGGGTATCAATGTCAATAGGAACTGAGCTCCCAGTTGTATTTTACAAGGCTTATGATGACATCACAGGGATTAGCCACAAGAACAAGGTAAAAGCAAACATTAATGCTGGGGTATGATCTAGGTGGGGAGAAGGAGGTGCTGAATTGTGAACAACTGACTGAGGGACTCAAGAACTTTGGTAGCCCACCCATTAAAAGTAATACCGGCTTTTCAGTCCTTTTCTGTTGAACTGACTGCTAGGTCTAACAGCCAATCACACTGGAGACAAATCTGCTCAACGCGAGGGTGTGGCTTATAAAATATATTAAAAGGCATCTAGCACATAGATTTGAACAGAGAGAGAAAGCAAAGAACATGTTTCAGAGTTACTCTTGACTTCAACTCACTGTGTTGTCCAATCTTCATCCGAAGTTCCTCCGCCGGTCCCATGAGAGAGATTGATTTGAGGACCTTTACCGTTACATCCAGAGCTGCCGCCTCGCCATAAAAACTGATGAGAAGGTTCTTTGTAGCAACCTGATCTGCATTTTCCAGAGGTCCACGTGGAACTGGACGTTTGTCCTTGTAGGAGAAATCTGACAGCTTATCTTTAAACCGCTTAAAATCTTTGCCGTTCAGATCCTCAAGGGTAGTGATGATGAGATCACTGCTGGTCAAACTTCCAACTGGATCCTCGGGGGCGGGACCTGAAATATAGTGTAGTGGTAAACAAGGGAGGAGAAGAAAGATGGCACTGATATGTGTAAGAAAGGGGATGCCAAACTCTAGGAGGCAGTGCGAAAAATCCCCCGGGTTGGTGGATATCAAGCACAGCTCTGCCAAATGGTGTATTTGGCCCTCCACCCAGAATATTTTCTTTGTACATTATTGCCGGCCCTCTAAATGCCAACCTGACGCTAAAAGTCTATATTTTAAGGTTGAAAACTATAAGCAAAAAGCAATAAAAGATGTACAAATCACATAAGAGTTGTGACTCACCTTGCTGCATGGAAGACGCCATAGTGGACGATCACAAGAAATTCAACGCTCGCATTGCCTACAAGACATGCAACATCCAAAGACAATTATTTTAATATTATCAAGTTTTGGTTTTTTTTTATCGCTGCCATTAGTTAAGACCTGCAGATGCATCAGAACATGGAGAAAACTTTAAATCTCCAAAATATTGATGTAGGTCCTATCATGAGGAGGACATACGAAAAGGGTCGGTCAACTCAAAAGCAATATTTTGGTCGGCGGCGGAAGTTGGTGGGCCGAGTCAGCCTTTGGATTCTTCTATATCTTGTTTAATCCAAATAGGGAGATCTCTGTGCCGTAACTGCCCATCTAGGAGTTTTGGGTGTTCTTGCCTACCTTTGGTGAGGTGCTGGAAGACCATTTCATGTGGTCATATTGTCATCTCATGTCATAAAATCTAGTAGACTGTACACACACCAGTCTTGAAGGGATCATTAAAGAGAAGGAGTGAGCAGGTCTGACCCATCTTTTTCAGTTGGGTCGGGAACTCCTCCCCCAGAGAGGTGAGGTGGTCCTCTGGTTGGTGCCATTCTGTGTCCCAACTGGGAAAAGTCCTGAAGACACAACAGGAATTGAGAGGAGTTGTCTTCAGAATGAGGCAAGTCCTCTCTTCAACAGATTTTTGGTAATAAATTTTAAAAATGTTGAGTCATCTTTTTGGAATGTGACAATACGATGTTAGTTCGACGCACTTTAAGACATTGCCTATGGCTGTTAAGGTTGGTTGGTTGGTAAGGTTGGTTATAATGGAGCATACCCCTTCTGAGTCAATCGAGCATTGCATAGATGAGTAATCGAACCAGAGAGATGATAGAAAAAGAGGAAGGGTGGCAGAGAACAGGGAATAGTGGAGGTCTTCCGGAAGGGCACCTTCTGGAAGGTCATGCATGGGTTTGTTTGGGTATGTAAAGTATCCAATGATTCCAGGAGATCTCAAGCTGATGTTCTTTGTCATGCGTCATTATCCATGAGATCTTATTCTTAGCTGATGGAAAACCCCTCCCTAGACTTTACCAAAACAGGTGTCCCCATTGGAACATACAAATAGAGAGTCCCACCACACTCCTGACCAAGAAGCCCCATATATTGTGTGTGTGTGTGGGGGGTGTCTGAAGTGGCCGTGGTTGCCGCCGCCTAGGGATGCACCGATACCAGTATTTTGGTACCTAGTAGGAGTACCGATAATTGTTTTCCGGTACTCGCCGATACCAATTACTGAGTACCGCAAGTCCCATTCAGGAAGCGAGGTGGCGTCTAAAGACTCGCCGCCCGGCTTCCCGATTAACAAGAAAGCCGTCGCAACCTGTCCCCTCTCACCTCGGCATGTCCAGCCTTTCATCCCCGGCGCCTCTCCAGCCAGGAACGGTCTTCCTCCGGACAGCCGGAGTCGTCTTGCTGGCCAATCATGGAAGCCGGGCGCCGTGTAATGACGCGGCGCCCTGCTTTCTGATTGGTCGGGAGATCGGCTCCATGCTCACTCGTCATGGGATGACGAGGGAGCATGAAGCTGTCTTCCCGGCCAAAATGCCAGGCGCTGTGTCATTACACGGCGCCCGGCTTCCATGATTGGCTGGGATGTCGGCTCCATGCTCTCTCCTCACAAGGGATGAGGGAGACTCTAAATGCCTTTGGCCCAGGCTAATGATTTCATGTTCTCTTTCCTTTACATTCCGCTGTTTCTTTATCAGCAATAATTTGGTGTACCTCCCATCTAGACGGACAGTCTCTCCTAAGTAGGCATTTCCATCTCTATGATTCTGATACCGTTCCTTCATCAAAGTCATGTAACTTCTTCTGCAATCTGCTTCAGACCAATAAAATAATAAGAAATACCGTAATTAAGCCTCCATAACCATTTACTCTGCAACAGCCACAATATAAAGCCTGTGTAGATTGGCTTTCATCCATGTCAGAACTAGAAATTTACACATTGTACATACCCTCCATTCTGTTATCCAATGACTGTGTCTTTATCACACCTAAAACCAAAGTGGAAACTGTCAATATTGAAGTGTAGGTCTGGAGGAAAAAAAATGTTAAGGACATCTTTGCAATACATGTACAATTCTCCATGTTGTGTCCCATAAAAAATGTTGCAAGTGCAGAAAAATACTTGTCGATCTGTGTCAGGGAACCTGGGGGTGTTACCTCCCCGCAGCGTCAGCGGGCACGGCGCAGGGTACGGGTCTCCCTCCAGCCTGGCAATACCCCTGGTGCCCGGGTTGCTGGTGCACATGTTTGCTGGTGCACACCTCAGGTGTGGGCCTTACTGGGTGAGGTTCCCAGCCCACACATACCACCTCTCGCCTGCCATTGGCTCTTGGGGAGAGAAGCCTCCTAGTTGCCTCGGTGACAGGGGGGCAGACTTACACCCCCTGGCTATAAAAACCTGGCCGGAGTCCTGGCTTGCTGCTGAGTTATTCCACTTTATGGTGTGACCGACAAAGCTCCCTTTCCTGTGTGCCTTACTGCCTGTTTCCTGAACCCCCATCTGATCTTCCGTGTACCGACCATGGACCGACCACTGCCTCTGACCCTTTGCTGCCTGTCTCGACCCAGATTGAACCTGACTACCCCTTTTGGATTGTCCCTTTGTACCTTGCCTTCGGAACTTTCAGGCTGCTTCCTGCCAGTGGGTTTCCTGCACGCTGCCGGCCCGCAGGCACGTCTGATAACGCCTGACAATCTGCCAGACGTCCAGTGTGCTCCTAATTTCCTGTTTGGTCTGACAACTCAAAGCTTGCGCCGTGCTGAAATTCCAACCAGCGTTGTCAGCCCTGCCGGCTGGACTACAGATCTCCCCCCTATCCCCACTTCTCTCCATCTTTCTCTACGCTCATAATTTATGCCTTTCCTAGAAAAGCAATGCTGCTGCCTTAGCACCAAAGACCCTGGCCACATACAGTGTGTTTAGGGAAAGGGCTCTTGGGAGATGTAGTTCTGGCGGGCAGGGCCAGATTTCCCACAATGCCAACCGGCCTTGGGGCAGCAGGGAGTAGAGGGGCAGCAGGGGTGTGGAATTCCTATCTCCCGATGCCCGGGACATGCAGTTCTGGGCACCAGGCAAGTAGTTGTTTTCTACCTTTAGTCCTGCTTTGGGCAAGCAGAGATAAATGTAGAGCGGGAAGCCGCCGCTTGTTTTGTTCAAGTGACCCTGTTGATGTCGCCGAGATCACTTGTATGCAGCCTGCAGGTCTGCAATCCTCTATGGTAGGGTAGGTTTGACAGGTAGGGGGGCGCATTGAGGAACATGGCCTTGGGGCAGCAGAGAGAGTAAATCCGGCCCTGCTGGCGGGGTATCAATGTCAATAGGAACTGAGCTCCCAGTTGTATTTTACAAGGCTTATGATGACATCACAGGGATTAGCCACAAGAACAAGGTAAAAGCAAACATTAATGCTGGGGTATGATCTAGGTGGGGAGAAGGAGGTGCTGAATTGTGAACAACTGACTGAGGGACTCAAGAACTTTGGTAGCCCACCCATTAAAAGTAATACCGGCTTTTCAGTCCTTTTCTGTTGAACTGACTGCTAGGTCTAACAGCCAATCACACTGGAGACAAATCTGCTCAACGCGAGGGTGTGGCTTATAAAATATATTAAAAGGCATCTAGCACATAGATTTGAACAGAGAGAGAAAGCAAAGAACATGTTTCAGAGTTACTCTTGACTTCAACTCACTGTGTTGTCCAATCTTCATCCGAAGTTCCTCCGCCGGTCCCATGAGAGAGATTGATTTGAGGACCTTTACCGTTACATCCAGAGCTGCCGCCTCGCCATAAAAACTGATGAGAAGGTTCTTTGTAGCAACCTGATCTGCATTTTCCAGAGGTCCACGTGGAACTGGACGTTTGTCCTTGTAGGAGAAATCTGACAGCTTATCTTTAAACCGCTTAAAATCTTTGCCGTTCAGATCCTCAAGGGTAGTGATGATGAGATCACTGCTGGTCAAACTTCCAACTGGATCCTCGGGGGCGGGACCTGAAATATAGTGTAGTGGTAAACAAGGGAGGAGAAGAAAGATGGCACTGATATGTGTAAGAAAGGGGATGCCAAACTCTAGGAGGCAGTGCGAAAAATCCCCCGGGTTGGTGGATATCAAGCACAGCTCTGCCAAATGGTGTATTTGGCCCTCCACCCAGAATATTTTCTTTGTACATTATTGCCGGCCCTCTAAATGCCAACCTGACGCTAAAAGTCTATATTTTAAGGTTGAAAACTATAAGCAAAAAGCAATAAAAGATGTACAAATCACATAAGAGTTGTGACTCACCTTGCTGCATGGAAGACGCCATAGTGGACGATCACAAGAAATTCAACGCTCGCATTGCCTACAAGACATGCAACATCCAAAGACAATTATTTTAATATTATCAAGTTTTGGTTTTTTTTTATCGCTGCCATTAGTTAAGACCTGCAGATGCATCAGAACATGGAGAAAACTTTAAATCTCCAAAATATTGATGTAGGTCCTATCATGAGGAGGACATACGAAAAGGGTCGGTCAACTCAAAAGCAATATTTTGGTCGGCGGCGGAAGTTGGTGGGCCGAGTCAGCCTTTGGATTCTTCTATATCTTGTTTAATCCAAATAGGGAGATCTCTGTGCCGTAACTGCCCATCTAGGAGTTTTGGGTGTTCTTGCCTACCTTTGGTGAGGTGCTGGAAGACCATTTCATGTGGTCATATTGTCATCTCATGTCATAAAATCTAGTAGACTGTACACACACCAGTCTTGAAGGGATCATTAAAGAGAAGGAGTGAGCAGGTCTGACCCATCTTTTTCAGTTGGGTCGGGAACTCCTCCCCCAGAGAGGTGAGGTGGTCCTCTGGTTGGTGCCATTCTGTGTCCCAACTGGGAAAAGTCCTGAAGACACAACAGGAATTGAGAGGAGTTGTCTTCAGAATGAGGCAAGTCCTCTCTTCAACAGATTTTTGGTAATAAATTTTAAAAATGTTGAGTCATCTTTTTGGAATGTGACAATACGATGTTAGTTCGACGCACTTTAAGACATTGCCTATGGCTGTTAAGGTTGGTTGGTTGGTAAGGTTGGTTATAATGGAGCATACCCCTTCTGAGTCAATCGAGCATTGCATAGATGAGTAATCGAACCAGAGAGATGATAGAAAAAGAGGAAGGGTGGCAGAGAACAGGGAATAGTGGAGGTCTTCCGGAAGGGCACCTTCTGGAAGGTCATGCATGGGTTTGTTTGGGTATGTAAAGTATCCAATGATTCCAGGAGATCTCAAGCTGATGTTCTTTGTCATGCGTCATTATCCATGAGATCTTATTCTTAGCTGATGGAAAACCCCTCCCTAGACTTTACCAAAACAGGTGTCCCCATTGGAACATACAAATAGAGAGTCCCACCACACTCCTGACCAAGAAGCCCCATATATTGTGTGTGTGTGTGGGGGGTGTCTGAAGTGGCCGTGGTTGCCGCCGCCTAGGGATGCACCGATACCAGTATTTTGGTACCTAGTAGGAGTACCGATAATTGTTTTCCGGTACTCGCCGATACCAATTACTGAGTACCGCAAGTCCCATTCAGGAAGCGAGGTGGCGTCTAAAGACTCGCCGCCCGGCTTCCCGATTAACAAGAAAGCCGTCGCAACCTGTCCCCTCTCACCTCGGCATGTCCAGCCTTTCATCCCCGGCGCCTCTCCAGCCAGGAACGGTCTTCCTCCGGACAGCCGGAGTCGTCTTGCTGGCCAATCATGGAAGCCGGGCGCCGTGTAATGACGCGGCGCCCTGCTTTCTGATTGGTCGGGAGATCGGCTCCATGCTCACTCGTCATGGGATGACGAGGGAGCATGAAGCTGTCTTCCCGGCCAAAATGCCAGGCGCTGTGTCATTACACGGCGCCCGGCTTCCATGATTGGCTGGGATGTCGGCTCCATGCTCTCTCATCACAAGTGATGAGGGAGCATGGAGCCGCTTCCCGACCAATCAGGAAACCGGGCAGCGTGTAATGACGCACTGCCTGGCTTCCTGATACAGGAAGTACTCGGAGCATTTGGGCGAGTACTCGTACTCGCCCAAATACTCGGTATTGGCACCGATACCAATAGTAGTATTGGTATCGGTGCATCCCTAGCGCCGCCAAATACTTGCAAAACAGAATAAATGGTCACCAGCGCTCCAACATTTCTTCAAAACTAAATCCTTTTATTCATGCTAGCGGGTCATATCACCATGCGTGGCAACGTTTTTGGCAACCTGTCCGGTCCCTTCATCAGGCAAACAACGCGTGGTGATATGACCGGCTAGAATGAATAAAAGGATTTAGTTTTGAAGAAAACATAGAGTGCTGGTTACCATTTGTTCTGTTTTCCCGTTGGAAGATAAACCCATACTTCCTGTTTTGGTGACAACTGTGAAATATTGGCTTTCTCATCACTTTTTTTTTATTATGGTGACTGTAGTCACCCTGACCATTAGATGGTGGTGATTATACCAGATGGGGACATTGAAAGCTATGAAAAACCCATCCATCATCCAATATTTTTAGATCAGTTTGACTTTATATACACACAGAGCTTTATTATCTACTGTGTATTTAGGTCCAGGGTGCCCAACCTACTAGCTGATGCCCAAATCTTGGAGGTCTGTAGCGGGAATGGGAGCATCAATTTGTAAAGGAACTAGAATTAGAATGACCTCTAGGACCTTCATGTTACATGTCCCCTGACTGTCCCGCAGCATGTCTCCTGCCACGCCTGTAGCATGTCCACAGCCCTTGACAGTCGCTTGTAGCATCACATGTACTATGTTATGCTTGGACTCCAGGTGAGGTCAGTGGTCACGCTTGAGGCCCCCCTATACCTCATGAGTTGACCACCATTATTCTAGGTAGAGCAAACATAGACGTATACATTAAGGAATACATTCACGGATGCAGAAAACTATAAAGAAGGTCTTACCTCTCTCCGTTGGATCTAACCCCTTCTACGTTAATTACTCGATTGCACTTTCCTGTCCATTCGACTTCCCCTTTCTGGGGCTTTTCTGCGAGAACATTGGAAGAGAAGGGTGTTGCGCAATCACTAAGACCGCAGATAGGAGCAAACATTTAGTTCCAGGAACTGTACGGACAACAGGATACAAAACGCCCTAAAAAAGTCACCATTATTCACTCACAACTGAATACAGCGGGTCTGGCCATAGATACATGTAGTACAATGTCTATAAGGGAGCGTAGATTTGGGTTTGTGACTAGGTCTTGGGAGACTGAGGTGTAACATTGCAATGTATTTTTTTTTTGGGGGGGTTGAAAAAACTGCAGTCCTGGGAAGTGCAGACATCTCACCGTCACGGTCCGCAAGAGATTTTATGGTGAGTGGTGCTTCATCAGGGTCTTTGGAGTCGTGGGCAGGTTGGAAGTTATGATATATAGAGAATGTTATCATCCAAGAAATGCAATGTAGACCAGTAGGTGACCACATGCTGCAGGTATCAGTTGATCAGCCCTTTAAAAGTGTAACTCGGGCATTGGCAACCCACAGCAAGTGCAAGCATGCAGTGCTGTTTTCACCGGCGCCTGCTGCCTGGACAACTTACTAGGCAGTCAGTTACCAAGTCTGGCCCACCAACCTAAGTGACATAACTGGAAGCTGGCAAACAGCTGAGGATGCCGGCGTGGTGTGCTGAAGAAGCATGCAAGCGTGCCTAAAGTGGTACCCTGCCCTTCTGAAGGAACAGGGTTGGAGGGCTGATCTTAGGGGCTGATATGAGGTATATGGATTGGGGCTAATCCGAGGGCTCAAGTGCATGCATTGGGGGCTAATCTGAGGCCTGAACATTCAGGAATTGGGGTGATCTGAGGGGTGAAGGTGCAGGAATTGGGGTCATCTGAAGGGAGAAGGTGCAGGAATTGGGGTGATCTGAGGGGAGAAGGTGCAGGAATTGGGGTGATCTGAGGGGTGAAGGTGCAAGAATCGGGGTCATCTGAGGGGAAAAGGTGCAGGAATTGGGGCTGATCTGAGGGGGGAAGGTGCAGGAATTGGGGCGATCTGAGGGGCGAAGGTGCAGGAATTGGGGCGATCTGAGGGGCGAAGGTGCAGGAATTGGGGCGATCTGAGGGGCGAAGGTGCAGGAATTGGGGCGATCTGAGGGATGAAGGTGCAGGAATTGGGATGATCTGAGGGGAGGTGCAGGAATTGGTGCTGATCTGAGGGGTGAAGGTGCAGGAACCTGGTCTGATCTGGGATGTGAAGGTGCAGAAATTGGGGCTGATCTGAGGGGTGAAGGTGCAGGAATTGGGGCTGATCTGAGGTGTGAAGGTGCAGGAATTGGGGTGATCTGAGGGGTGAAGGTGCAGGAATTGGGGTGATCTGAGGGGTGAAGGTGCAGGAATTGGGATGATCTGAGGGGTGAAGGTGCAGGAATTGGGGTGATCTGAGGGGTGAAGGTGCAGGAATTGGGATGATCTGAGGGGTGAAGGTGCAGGAATTGGGGTGATCTGAGGGGTGAAGGTGCAGGAATTGGGATGATCTGAGGGGTGAAGGTGCAGGAATTGGGGTGATCTGAGGGGTGAAGGTGCAGGAATTGGGATGATCTGAGGGGTGAAGGTGCAGGAATTGGGGTGATCTGAGGGGTGAAGGTGCAGGAATTGGGATGATCTGAGGGGTGAAGGTGCAGGAATTGGGGTGATCTGAGGGGTGAAGGTGCAGGAATTGGGATGATCTGAGGGGTGAAGGTGCAGGAATTGGGGTGATCTGAGGGGTGAAGGTGCAGGAATTGGGATGATCTGAGGGGTGAAGGTGCAGGAATTGGGGTGATCTGAGGGGTGAAGGTGCAGGAATTGGGATGATCTGAGGGGTGAAGGTGCAGGAATTGGGGTGATCTGAGGGGTGAAGGTGCAGGAATTGGGATGATCTGAGGGGTGAAGGTGCAGGAATTGGGGTGATCTGAGGGGTGAAGGTGCAGGAATTGGGATGATCTGAGGGGTGAAGGTGCAGGAATTGGGGTGATCTGAGGGGTGAAGGTGCAGGAATTGGGATGATCTGAGGGGTGAAGGTGCAGGAATTGGGGTGATCTGAGGGGTGAAGGTGCAGGAATTGGGATGATCTGAGGGGTGAAGGTGCAGGAATTGGGGTGATCTGAGGGGTGAAGGTGCAGGAATTGGGATGATCTGAGGGGTGAAGGTGCAGGAATTGGGGTGATCTGAGGGGTGAAGGTGCAGGAATTGGGATGATCTGAGGGGTGAAGGTGCAGGAATTGGGGTGATCTGAGGGGTGAAGGTGCAGGAATTGGGATGATCTGAGGGGTGAAGGTGCAGGAATTGGGGTGATCTGAGGGGTGAAGGTGCAGGAATTGGGATGATCTGAGGGGTGAAGGTGCAGGAATTGGGGTGATCTGAGGGGTGAAGGTGCAGGAATTGGGATGATCTGAGGGGTGAAGGTGCAGGAATTGGGGTGATCTGAGGGGTGAAGGTGCAGGAATTGGGATGATCTGAGGGGTGAAGGTGCAGGAATTGGGGTGATCTGAGGGGTGAAGGTGCAGGAATTGGGATGATCTGAGGGGTGAAGGTGCAGGAATTGGGGTGATCTGAGGGGTGAAGGTGCAGGAATTGGGATGATCTGAGGGGTGAAGGTGCAGGAATTGGGGTGATCTGAGGGGTGAAGGTGCAGGAATTGGGATGATCTGAGGGGTGAAGGTGCAGGAATTGGGGTGATCTGAGGGGTGAAGGTGCAGGAATTGGGATGATCTGAGGGGTGAAGGTGCAGGAATTGGGGTGATCTGAAGGGTGAAGGTGCAGGAATTGGGGCTGATCTGAGGTGTGAAGGTGCAGGAATTGGGGTGATCTGAGGGGAGACGCCTAATGATTTAGACCGGAATGTTCACCGCCTCGTGTTATTCACCCCAATATTTCCCAACCACACTGCGTATTAGGATGAATTTCACAACTGATGTACGCGGACTTACTGCAAATACTGTAAGAGTTTCCTTCCTATTTCTCAGGCTTCATCACTTCCCATCATCATCCTCCTTCCAAAGCATTTTTAACTCTTTCACTGAAGAACATGTTCCTGGTATGATGTTGGTGCAGCAACCCTTAAAGTCCAAGAAGTGGATTCATCTAACCTTGGAGGGATTTCCTTCCACTTCCTGTTGTGTTTTACAGGACAGGAAGTGAAATCTCTTAAATGGGAAGCAGAATAAGACCCTAGCAAGGGTTTTAATCCTCCCTTACTCTATACAAAATGGTAAAAAGCACATTTGTGGTCTTCAAACACCTCCGTGGCCTGGGCTTCACCTTAAGGAACCTCACCCTTTGAAACTTTATGACCCCAATTGTCCAAACCTGCCGACCACCTCTCCTAACTTTACGCCTTGTGAACCAAGCACGCACTGTTGTCCCACAGTAGATCTCCGCCTGGGACAAAGAACTGAACCACCAGTCCTTGGAGGACAACCTCCGCTAATGTCAGGGAACCAGGGGTGTTACCCCTCCTCGGGGCCAACAGGTACGGTGCAGGGCACGGGGTCTCCTCCAGCCTGGTAGAACTCCTGGCGCCGGGGTTGCAGGTGCGCATGCGCGGTGGAAGCGCGCCCTCGGTACACAGGCTGTGCTCTTCCTGCCAGTGGGTTCCTCTCCACGCTGCCAGCCCATAAGCACGTCTGACAGCTAAGGACTGTAAGCATGGCCCATGAGAGAGGTTTTAAGATCAGGTGGTATGAATGTTCTTACACCATTTGGAAAATATTCCCCTCTGCCTCGGACCAATGCCGGCACTGCTGTAACCTAATTATGGCGGACACACCTCGATACTAGCCTTCTGGAATCAAATTCTCTACGTATGAAGAGGTCACGGGTCTTAGCCTCCTGGTGCCTCCAGAAATTTTACTTCCCCAGGCTTCGTGTCCACCATAAAAAGGTCTCCTACCCCTTTTTTTTGTTCTGCTAGCAGCCAGAACTGTGACTCCGAGGCATTGGAATCGAATTGCCCCCTCTCTCTTGAGGAATGGATCGCTGAAGTATCTCACATTCAATGCATGGAGGAACCAACGGCCTTCTTTTATGATCAATAAACCTCTACTTGGAGCATCTGAGACACTTATATGGGTTCTATCCAATTTAGAAACCTCAATGTGATAACATACCCCGGGGCAGGCAAATAACGACCCTCCAGCTGTGGTAAAACTACAAATCCTATTATGCATTTGCCACTGGGAGTCATGCTTTTGGCCGTCACGGTCTTCCAAAGCCCTATGGGATTTGCGGTTGCACCACAACTGAAGGGCCGGAGTTTTCCTCCCCTTGACATTCACCATTCTCATGGCCTAGGAATTGTCCTGGTCTCCTCAAATGGACACCAAACCCATCCCTAAATCACCGGGACCCTGCCCCTTACCACCTCCCTTCCCCACAGCTAAACTATGTGTGCCTGACGAAGGGACCATTAATGGTTCCAAAACGTTGACGTTCACGAGTGATACCATGTATTCTTAGCGTCTTGGTGTGCGGGTGACTATTTATGCATTTGGTCTCCTCAAGGTGCATGCTGGGAAAATTGGAGTGCCCCCAGTGAGATATTGACACAGCAGGACAGGCTGGCCAAATGAATATGGAGTTCGGAATATGGTCCAGGGGCCAGCAGGATTTTTTTAGGAGCCGGCTCCATTGACAATTAGAGAGAACCCCGAAGGTTGGCCGCCAAGGAGATCCCAATCCCCTGCGGCCGGAGAAACCCATTTCTGGACGGACAACATTTCGAATGTGTGTACTTGGAAGGAGGAGAGGAACTTTATCGGACTTTATTGTCGTCGTATAAAAACATACATCAAAATGTCCAACAGGAAGACGGAGGCGGTGACAACGTTTATCTTTAATTTGATAACTAAAGAGCAGCTCCAGGCAACAAATAAATTCTGAATATAAAAGGTCGGAAAACTTCAATGTGCAAAAATCAGAAAGGTCAGTTTTATGAAATCCAAGTCTGAAATAATCCAATGCAGCCAACTGAAGCAGTTAATTCGGTTAGCTCTTGGTCACATGATTTTGTGCAACCTCCCTCTTCAGCTCAAACCTGTGCAGGTGAAGCAGCAGTGAACTCAGCGGTGCTGGGGTACGGTAAGCCAGTATCTTCCCAAGGTTAGATTCGGGGATGTTCAGAGAGAAAAAAAAAAACATATTCCACCAGTGATAGGGATCTTACTAGTGAGGCAGCAAGCTGCACAAGATGGACGTGGGATGGCCACGTCAACAAAATGTAGCTTTAATGCAATCATGTAACGTTTTGGTTGGACTTAAATCAGCTAAAAATTCCTACAAGGGATTCTGCCCAAGTCAACGTGTGTGAACTCTGTAGTGACTGACGAGGTGCGATGTCTGAGAGAAGCATTTCCCGCACTCTGAGCAGGAAAATGGTTTGACCCCGGTGTGAAGTCTCTGATGCCTGATAAAGTTCGACTTATCTACGAATTCTTTTCCACACTCAGTGCAGGAAAACGGCTTCTCCCCCGTGTGGATTCTGCGGTGGCGGTACAGGTACGACCTGTCTGAGAACCCTTTCCCACACTCCGTGCAAGTAAAGGGCTTCTCGCCCGTGTGAGTGGTCTGGTGTCGGATGAGGGAGGCCTTGTCCATGAAGCCCTTCCCGCATTCGGCACAGGAAAAGGGCATCTCTATGACATGAATTTTTAGATGGTTCCGGAGGTGGGAAGACCAGGCAAAGCCTTCTCCGCACTCCGGGCAGGAATAAGGCTTCTCCCCAGTGTGAACCCTCTCATGGCTGACCAGGTCTGCTTTGGCGATAAAGCATCTTCCACACTCTGAACAGGCAAAGGGCTTCTCCCCTCTGTGGATGGTCTGGTGGGCGCGGAGCCGCGACTTTTGCCGGAAAGATTTGCCGCACTCGGCACAGGAAAACTTGACATCAGAATGGGTCCTCTGATGTTTACGAAGCTGGGATGGGCAGGAGAAACATTTCCCGCACTCTGAACATGGGAAAGGTTTCTCCCCCGTGTGGCTCCTTTGGTGCTGAATGAACTTCGACCGGAATTCAAAATTTCTTCCACATTCTAGGCACTGAAACCTTCGTTCCCCAGAGTGGGTCAGTTCGTGCCTATCGAGGGCCGACTGCCAGGCGAAACACCTCCTGCACTCGGCACAGGTAAAAGGCTTCTCCCCGAGGTGAGCTCTCTTCTGTCCCTGACCTGGTTTCTGCAAAAGACATTCTTTACACTCAGAGGATGAAAAACTCCTCTTGCCTGTTGAACTTTGCTCCGAGTCCGCCTTAAAGCCTTTCCCGCACGTCAAACATATGAAAGAGCCCTCGCCCGTGTGAGTTTTATGGTGTTCAAGGAGAGCGGATAATCTCGTGAAGCATTCTCCACATTCCGAGCAGGAAAATGAGAATAGGTCCGATGCCTCGGGTGAGGACTCTTCAGGGTTAGAGGTATCAGCTGTGGCGGTATCTAATGTACCGCTCGGCAGTCGCTCAATAGGGGCCTTGTGTGGGGTGACCGGGTCTTCTCTGGGAGAGCCATGGATGATGTCATCGTCTTCAGAGTCGGAAACGTGAGATAAATGAAGATGACTCCTAAGGGTTTTCCTGCCGTCTGCACCACCTGTTACATATAAACATAGAAGTATTAGAAATATATATACTGTATATACACAGCACTACATACGGCAAACCATCTCATGGTTGCCTATTAAGATGGCACCAGACATGGGTAGGATTGCTACTGAAGATCTGCTGAAGGACTCATCGCTGGTCAGGAGCTTATAAGACTCAAATCTTATTTGTGAATTGCATTTTATAGCAGCTCACATGCAGTGGCGTCACAAGGGGGGTGCGGCCCGCACTTGGGTGACACCATTGGAGGGGTGTCACCAAAATGACTTACAGTCATTTTGGTGTCACCCACCTCTGAAAAGTCGGGCGCTCGCTCATGGACCGAACACCCGACAGTGTCAGGAGAGAGAGGAGGGGACCCAGAGGCATACCTTATCCCACCGGGTGACTGTCCCCTCCTCTCTGCCGGCGTCCATCACCAAATCAGAATACTGCCGCACATGCGCGGTGACGTCTCGGCGGGGTGACACTCGGTTACCGCTCCGGGTGTCACCCAGCCTCGGGACGCCCCTGCTCACGGGTATAATGTTGGGTTGTTGATAAAAGAAGAAAGGACACGCGAGGAACATTGGTTACTTGACACAGTCCTTGCCGATGAGATGATGCAGTATTACCGACCCAACCACCTCGGAGATGGAAGATACCAAAACAACCCCCCCCCATAATCCCCCCTCCACCAAACTTTACACTTGGCACAATGCAGTCAGGCAAGTACCGTTCTCCTGGCAACTGCCAAACCCAGACACGCCCATCGGATTGCCAGACTGAGAAGCGTGATTGGTCCCTCCAGAGAACACATCTCCCCTTCTCTAGAGTGCAGTGGCGGCGTGCGTTACACCACGGCATCCCACGCTTTGCATTGCACTTGGTGATGTGAGGCTTGGATGCAGCTGCTCAGCCATGGAAACCCATTCCATGAAGCTCTCTACGCACAGTTGTTGTGCCAATCTGAAGGCCACACGGAGTTTGGAGGTCTGTAGCTATTGACTCTGCAGACAGTTGGCGACTTCTGCGCACTGTGCGCTTCAGCATGCGCTGACCCCGCTCTGTCATGTTATGTGGCTGACCACTTCATGGCTGAGTTGCTGTTGTTCCCAGTTGCATCCACTTTGTTTTAATCCCCTTAACAGGTGACCGCGGAATATTTAGTAGCCGGGAAATGTCACGGATGGACTTATTGCACAGGTGACAACCTATCACGGCACCACGCTTGTAGTCACTGAGCTCCTGAGAGCGACCCGTTCTTTCACCAATGTCTGTAGAAGCCTCTGCATGCCGAGGTGCCTCATCCTATACACCTGTGGTCATGGAGGGGATTGGAACACCTGAATCCAATGATTTGGAGGGGGAGGGGCCCAATACTTTTGGCAATATAGTGTATGTGGACAACTGGATCATACCACATGGGGTTCTGTCCCTTGTCTAGAGCTGGTACCAAACATGTCTTGAATCGCTACTGAAGATCTGCTATTGGATTACAATACTTTGTCCTTCTAAAAGAAGAACGGACACACAAGGTTACAAAACTGAACACAGTCCTTGCAGAAAAGATGATGCAGTAAGGATCCTACGGTCCCCAACAGGGAAGATATAGATCATCCGGCCAGGTACGGGAATCCATCTGCGAGTTCAAGATATCAGGAGGGCAGATTGTGCTGTTACCATATGGGGGGGTTCTGTCCCTTGACAGCTGGGAAATTAAATGGTTTTGGGTGGAGAGTCTAATATGGAAATCTGACTCCTCCACAACATACTGCTTCCTCAAAATGAAGAGATGGTTGTAGAGACCACAAAGCAATGAGTGTTTCTTCTTACCAGTGCCGAGGTCAGGAGGAACTTCCTCTTCCTTCACCGTCACCGGTGTCATAACTTCCTCCTCTTTCACCTCTTCTTTAACAACGATGATGTTGAGGTCTCCCAGCTCGTCCCTCTAAACATTTCATAACATAGACATGATGGAGCATCATGCTTCAATCACAGACCATAAAGAGCCTGCTGGTTTATTGGGGAAGTTCCTCCTACCTTCTCATAATCCTGTGTGGAATCCCGGGAATACAGAGGACGGGGACATCCCTCTGGTGGGTTCCTCTTACTGGATCCATCTGTAGGAAACACACACACTGACTGAATACATTGTTTCTATGTGTGTATCAGATGACGGGGGATCTAGGTGGACCCTCCGTACTGTTCCTTCATAAAGTCTTCTCCTACCTTGTGACGTGAGGGGCGGCTGATTCTTCATCTTGTTGGTGTCTTCTAGAACCTTTGATGCCAGAGAAAGAGGCGAGTCCTGATCAGTCCTTCCAACTCACTAGATGTCTTCTTCACGCCTGTTTGTCGGGAATCAAAAATGAGAAGATTCAGGAGAACTTCCAGCGTCACTCACAACTCTTGTTAGGACTCTTCTACGAATGGACCTAACAGTGACTTGGTAACGTAGAGCGGTTTTTGATGCTCTTGATGGAGACTCTGGAGAAAATGCCCCTTACAGTGGTGGTCAGTGCAAAGAATGCTCCCCGTACAGTGGTGGTCAGTTGAAAGAATGCCCCTTACAGTGGTGGTCAGTGGGAAGAATGTTCCCCTTACAGTGGTGGTCAGTGGGAAGAATGCCCCTTACAGTGGTGGTCAGTGAGAGGAATGCTCCCCTTACAGTGGTGGTCAATGGGAATAATGCTCTCCTTACAGTGGTGGCCAGTGGGAAGAATGCTCCCCTTACATTGGAGGTCAGTGGGAAGAATGCCCCTTACATTGGTGGTCAGTGGGAAGAATGTTCCTTACATTGGGGGTCAGTGGGAAGAATGCCCCTTACAGTGGTGGTCAGTGGGAAGAATGCTCCCCTTACAGTGGTGGTCAGTGGGAAGAATGCTCCCCTTACAGTGGTGGTCAATGGGAAGAATGCTCCCCTCACAGTGGTGGTCAGTGGGAAGAATGTTCCCCTTACATTGGTGGTCAGTGGGAAGAATGCTCCTTACAGTGGTGCTCGGAACGCCGCCATTACAGACACCCATATAGACCACTGGTGCCATGTTGTTTGCTTTGCCAAGTGGAGGTGGCCCCAGAACTATGGAGGCACCATCAGATGGTCAACCAGCCACAGCTCAAGGAACCCCTAGCAACCTCTGGAGGAACCCTGGCTGAGAATGGCTGATGTAGACGGAGGGCCCACCTAAGCAATCCATTCCATTTATATCCAATCAGGTTGGCCCTCATACCACACGGCTGTTGGCACAGTTGGACCATGGGACCACATTTTGAGTTGTCCTTCAACTAAGATGGTGTGGTAGCTACAAGCTACTCAAAAGCACCTTCACAAAAGCTCCACCTTTGACCCCAATAATTATTGCTGATGAATGCAGCATGTTCCGGCCCAGCTTTTGTCATCCTCATCCCCGTCCTCCTATTCCTTGTTTATGTAACAATCCTGAAGCCAGTATGGCTTCCAAGATCCCTGAAGGGTTTGTGGCTCTAAAATGGTTCAGTGGGTGACTTCATGTCCCCCGGAAATCAGTTAGCGCTCAGCTCTATGCATCCCCCGGACACCAATCCTTGAAGGGAAACATTCACCAATGTTCTGGAAGGTTCAATACTACCTGTGAGCCCTCAAAGGGTTCCTCAGCTTGACCCCCACCAATGGGACTGTTGGGTTGGGAGATAGCGGATCGGTGCACCATACTACGGCCTAGGGAACCAACATCTCTGTCATGTTCCAGCAACTCAATGATGGGATAAGTCTCTACATATACTATGTGCTGCTGGAGAAAAAGCTCTAACCTCCTTGGGGTCATTATCACCCCCCCTCTCCCCAAAATTGTACTGAACCATAACATACCACCTATATTCCCATCCATTTCTATCAGCAGAAAGTCCTCTCCTCTTGCCCCACTCACCAGGCACTTCCCACCTTCCTCCCCAACCCGGAAACCCCCAACCCTCGCCCACAAACCACTTCCGCTTTGTGCGTTCCAAATTGCCCCAAACCAAAATGGCCGCCCATTTGCCGGAATTCGTTCTGTAGCGAAAAACAGCGCCCAGAAACCCGCTACTGTCTGACCCAGGGAGTGAAAAACAAACAATATCAATCTGCAAAGCTCAGCTGGAACCCTCCCGGCTTCCAAATCATCTGTTCCATGATTGTGAGTTCTCCTGGTTCCCGAATCCAACATGGCCGCCGCGTCGTCAGCGGTCCCCATGGAAACAAAGTAGGGAGAATGCTGAGGAGAAGTCTGGAGCAAACCTCCCTGTAAGCCGCAGTGCGGTTGGCACAGCCGCTGGTGGAGCGCACAACCAGGAAGTGACTGCTGAAACGCACAACCAAGAAGTGACTGATGGAACGCACAACTAGGAAGTATCGGGTGAAACGCACATGCATTAGTTTCCGGGGTTAGAGGTGAATTGACCGGACGTAGAGAAGAGGCATTGCTGGAACTGGCAGAAAGGGGGTAATTATTTGGTTATTGAGCACATTTTATGTCCCCAGCGGTATCCCCCATCATCATCTCCTCTTCATTTATTATTGTAGCGCTTATATAGAATAACAGAGGGATATAATCATGTCCAGACACCTCTATATGAGCTGCATTGATCACAAATCAATTCATCTATTGTTGCTTCATATAAAGAGGGTGATACCAATATATAACAATGTGCAGCTATATAATGGAATATGGAGGTAGCGGACCAGTGCGTTCCTGAAACTGAAATACGAGGCCGCAGGTGACAATATTACCAGTACTGCTATTACCGTTATTTGGTATTGGTAATGTTAGCCCGTGTCGGCACATAAAAGTCAATGGTGGGTAGTGTTGGTGGGTCAGCGTGGTGTAACGCTCCTCGTGTCCACAGAGGAGTCACATGACGTACCATGTGTAGAAAATATGGCTCTGCGGGGGAGGTTCTTTTTTCAGTGTGTGCTATAAGCCCCTCCCTGTCAGTGTAACTCTGCACTCTGATGAAGGGTTCTTCTTCCTGTTCAGTCCCGTCCATCCCCCCGTATTCTAATGCCAGCCTATCGAGCTCTCTGACTGATATAGTGCAGCATGGAGGTCAGACAAGGAGGCGGCATTTTAGACATTGCCCTCATAGTGTAAAATGTCCTTCGTAATTCACTTCTATATCCGTCCACAGAGAAGAGCGTCCTCACCCCACCACCTCCAGGAAGATGGACAAAGACCGAAGTCACATGACCGAGAGGATATTAGACCTCACCCTACAGATCATCTACCAGCTGACCGGAGAGGTGAGGAGGATTCTGGGAGGTCACATGACATCACTCTTATCTCTATTAATAACACACAGACCTTACCGGAGAGGTGAGGAGGATTCTGGGAGGTCACATGACATCACTCGTATCTCTATTCATAAAACACAGACCTGACCGGAGAGGTGAGGAGGATTCTGGGAGGTCACATGACATCACTCTTATCTCTATTCATAAAACACAGACCTGACTGGAGAGGTGAGGAGGATTCTGGGAGGTCACATGACATCACTCTTATCTCTATTCCTAAAACAGACCTGACCGGAGAGGTGAGGAGGATTCTGGTCATTGTCGACATGACATCATTGTTTTTGTTTTGATACAGAGTTTTCACCCAGTGAAGTCTAATGACCATGTAACCATCACGGTGCCTCTTCCTTACCTCCTTACCCCCGAAATAAACACAAAGAAGATTCTAGATTTCACCAAGAAGATGATTGATCTGCTGACAGGAGAGGTGAGCGGTGCCGGGAATTCTGGGACATGATCCAGGAACAGACAAGTGATGTGTCTGGGTGGTGACTGTATCATTGTGTGTGTCAGGTTCCTATAAGGTGTCAGGATGTCTCTGTCTATTTCTCCATGGAGGAGTGGGAGTATCTAGAAGGACACCGGGATCTCTACAAGGACGTCGTGATGGAGAATGAGCCGCCCCTCACATCACCGGGTAAGAGGAGAGAGCAGTACGGAGGCTCCGCCTACATCCCCCATCATCTGATACACACATAGAAACAATGTATTCAGTCAGTGTGTGTGTTTCCTACAGATGGATCCAGTAAGAGGAACCCACCAGAGAGATGTCCCCGTCCTCCGTATTCCCGGGATTCCACACAGGAAGATCTCACCGTCCCCCACCATGATCAGGTAGGTGGAGTTGAGGGTCTTCACGTTGTGTGATCTGTAGTGGACTTGAATGGATTTTACTCTCATTTAATGCCTGGATTCCTGAGCCTGATGTGGTTAAACGCTCTTTTTTCTAGGATGGACTTCTAATTGATATCAAGGTAGAAGATGGTCACATAGAAGATGAGACACACTCAATGAGTGGTTGGCCACATAAAAGTGGAGACATTTCCCCAGAGTTCCAGACCGGTGGGTGACACTAAATACAGAAAAGATTCCCGATTTCCCATTGTTTAGTCTATATCACCGTGGTCAGGCCTCCCCACCCCCACACACTCCATGACCGATCAAATTCAGTGTGACCTTCATGTTTTTGTTCTACTAGAACTTGCCATCTAGAGCTGGTAGGCCCATTACTCATTGAGCAAAAAGTTGACACACTTCTATAAATTGGCCGTGGGACGTTGCCCCAATGCTTGATTTTTTTTTCCCTCTTTTTTATTCTACTTAAAGTATTTACTGTTTGTGGTGGAAACCGTGATGCAGCATCTTATCTTCTACTCATCGGGTGTCTACTTAAAGCTGAGCTCCGGGATTTGCCCCCCACCCCCCTACATTGCATGGGTTTAATGTTCATTAAGTCTAGGTGGAGAGGAATAAGCTGTAATAGTTATCTTTTTCCTCACTTTGGCAAGCTCTAGCACTCTCCTCTTCTCCCCACAAAGGTTATTTTATAATAATCAGAGAGCTTTTGAGCTTGAGCCGCTAGAGCTATATCAGGTGCCACATGGGAAAATGTGTGGCCTATCAGGTGCCACATGGAGAACTGTGAGCCATATCAGGTGCCATATGGACATTCTGACCATATAAGGTGCCACATGGGCATTTTGAGGTATATCAGGAGCCACATGGAGAACTGAGCCATATCAGGTGCCACATGGAAAACTGTGAGCCATATCAGGTGCCACATGGGAAAATGTAGTTCCAATATTCCGCTGAATTGGCTTTTAGGCCATCAACCTTTTGACCTTTTCTCATCAAAACAGTTTGAGCCATGTCAAGTGCCACATGAGAAAATGTGTGCCCTATTAGGTGCCACATGAAGAGCCGTGATCCACATGGACAACTATACGCCATATCAGGTCCCACATGGCAAAATGTTTGCCCTATCAGGTGCCACATGAAGATCTTTAAACCCTATCAGGTCCCACATGGACAACTGTAAGTCATATTAGGTGCCACATGGACATTTTGAGCCACATCAGGTGCCACATGGACAACTGTGTTCCATATCAGGTGCCACATGTAGATTTGTGAGCCATATCAGGGGCCACATAGAGAACTGTGAGTCTTATTTAGTTCCCTTTAGTCTACTGATTTGGCTTTTAGGCCATCAACTTTTTGACTTTTCTGGTGCTGTATAAGTGACTCATCTCATGTGCCAACCATATTGTCCACTTAGCTTTCTCCTACAGTTCTAAAGTATAGTTACCACCTAAATATTTCTTGATGGCCACTCAGAGTACCAAAACCTATCTTCTCATTTGTGTAATCGTGTCTTCATATCCAGCAGGTGTCACGGTCCGGGGGTTGACCTCGGAGGATCTTCTGGATCTATTTCCAAAATATGGCGCAGAAGAAGAAACCGTCACTCGCGATTCTCCAGCTGGAAACGTGGACACCCCGGATTTCCATCTCGGACTTTCATTTATGTTGCCAAACCTGTGCTATGCTGAGGAACCTTACCGCCCAGATACTGCCAGACGCGGTGGAACTCCCCAAGGCATTAAGAGATTTTCGTGCCCCGAGTGCGGTAAAAGCTTTTCCAAGAATTCGGCTCTTAAGATACACTGTAAACGCCACGTGGCAGAGAAAGCGTTTTCGTGTCCTGAGTGTGGAAATTGTTTTAGATACGAGTCGGAGCTCATTAAGCATCACAGGACTCACGTGGCGGAGAAACGTTTCCCGTGTATGGATTGCGGGATATCCTATATGTCAGAACCGGAGCTTGCTACCCATCAGAGAACTCACTCGGCGGAGAAGTCTTATGTGTGCGCCGAGTGTGGGAAATCTTTCGAGGGACAGCGCGGCCTTCGCCGCCATTACAAAAGCCACTCGAGCAACAAACCGCATCCCTGCTTGGAGTGCGGAAAACGTTACACGTGGAAGTCAGAACTCGTCCAGCATCAGAGAGTCCACACGGGGGAGAAGCCCTTCTCTTGTCTGGAGTGCGGCAAGAGCTTCTCTTGGAAGGCCGTACTTCTCAAACACCAGAAGGTGCACACCGGCGGCAAGTCCCTCTCGTGTCCGCAGTGCGGGGAGTGTTTCACCTGGAAGTCCGATCTTGACAAGCACCAGAGGAAGGCCCACACTGGAGAACGGACTCTGTCTTGTACAGAATGTGGGAAGCGGTACACAAGCCGCTCTCACCTGCTCGACCACCAGAGGACTCACACGGGGGAAAAGCCCTTCTCCTGCCCCCAGTGCGAGAAGCGTTTCACCTCCATTGCCCAACTGAACAAACATCGGAGGAGCCACACCTGCGAGCTGCCGTTTTCCTGCTCAGAATGTGGCAAGGGCTTTGCGGAGAGAGAGACGCTGGTGAGACATCAGAGGGTCCACAAAATGCCGTTTTCCTGGCACTGAGACAAACAATTAAATATGACTGAAAATGGAGGTTAAGATTGCCGAGTCCAGGTCATCGGTCAGTTGGTCACCTCGCTGGGAAGATATCGGATGCAGATAGCTCCACCCAATTCGAGGTGGATCAGTAAACTATTAGGGGGTTTCGTAGCCCTGATGTTGTGTTACCCAGGAAATAAACATGTAATAAAATCTTACAGATGTCCCTTTACCTCAATTATCTTATTCTTTCCTTTCGAAGAATAGAAATTTATATTCCCGAACCGTGTGCTATACACACACGCACACGTGTCGTCATTCCTATCTTGGTTATGCATCATGGCTGATGTAGACCGACAAGAGACAAGTATTAAATTAGGATGAGAGGCATCACAGAGGAGACTGGAGACACCTGACCGGGCTAGTGGTAGTAGTCACTGAGACAGGAAGTGAGGGATCATTATATTGTATAGGAGTGAATCCCTACCCTCATCCCAACACAAGTAAATCCAACTTGATGAGGTCCTACTTGATGGCCATATAATGCCCACACACTTCTGCCAGCTAGTTGATTTTTCAACCAGAGCTGTGATCATTGCTGGGGTTGTAGCATGTGTGCTACAAGGGCACCATGTTTTTTATATGAGTTCAGTCTTTTAGAGCATGCAAAAGATTGCACAGATGAGTTCAGGTGTTTCCATTGACGGGTTCTGTCCATGCTGCAGCGTACAAAGACATTGTAGACAATTCTGCTCTTCCTACCTTGTAGGCAACAGTTTGGTGAAGGACCTTTTTGGTTCCACCATAACTGTCCCCCATGTACAAGGCCAGCTCTATAAAGCCATGGTTTGACCAGGTTGGAGTGGACTGTGGAGGAACTTGAGTGGTCTCCAGAGAACCCGGACCGCAACCCTACTGAGTACCTTCAGGACGAACTGGAATGCCGATTGTGAGCCAGGTCTTCTCATCCATCATCAGTACCGCAAATGCCAACAGACACCCTCCAAAATCTTGGGTGTGTAGGCTGTTATAACCCAACCCCTTCTGTGGAGAGTGGAGGCTGTTATGAGTTCAGGTGTTTCCATTGACGGATTCTGTCCATGCTGTAGCGTACAAAGACATGGCAGACAATTCTGCTCTTCCTACTTTGTAGGCAACAGTTTGGTGAAGGACCTTTTCTGTTCTATCATGACTGTCCCCCATGTACAAGGCCAACTCCATAAAGACATGATTTGACCAGGTTGGTGTAGAGGAACTCGAGTGGTCTGCAGAGAACCTGGACCTCAACCCTACTGAACACCTTCAGGACGAACTGGAATGCCAACTGTGAGCCAGGTCTTCTCATCCAACATCAGTACCACAAATTCCCACAGACTCCCTCCAAAATCTTGGGTGTGGAGGCTGTTTTTTAACCCCAGCCCCTTCTTTGGAGATTGGAGGCTCTTATAACCCCAGCCCCTCCTGTGGAGAGTGGAGACTGTTATAACCCCAAAGGATGGGGGAAGTACCGAATTAATCTAGGTGTGATGGTGAGGTGTCCACAAACTATTGGCCATATGGTGTCTGCAGATAAGCATTTCTGTCTTCATTTTGTTTCTCCCGATATACATTCTCACGGTTCAAAAAGGAGGTCAGAAACGGCAGCCCCCATATTTTTCCTCAGAAAGGTTTAGGCAATAAATAAAAAAGAGAAACCATGTGTGGCCAGCGTAAGGTGGCACGTTCCGAAAACAGCAAGGGCTTTTTATTTTGCATTCACCTCTGGTGTATTGTGTCCATTGCCCTCATCCAATATGGAGATTTTAAACTTCATGTCCTCGTCCATTATGCCCTTTCTCTGCCCACACTTGTAATGGCCGCCTAGCACTTGTGAATCCCCACCTCCTCATAATCCCCATAACCAATCCCAGACATGGAGAATAGCGGGAGGAAAGCTGCAGAGAAACAAGTCTCCAGTGCAGGGAGGATTGCAGCCATTTTCATGTGGTCCACAGGTGACCACGGACCTCTCATTATCCTTCTCCAGGAACAGAGGAAAGCCAGACACAACGGAGCTCCATGTCCATCTCATTGTCCCCCTCACATCAACACTGGGCAAGTACTGGCACTACAGTGCTGCAAAGACAAAGTTGGTGGCCATTTTTTTGTAGCCCAAAATGAGGACAGTTGGCTCTCTCAAGGTTTGCCTCCCAGAATCCTCCGCTCCAAGCTTTGTCCTGTGCTAGGCTGCTGTGCAGAGTCTGAAAAATGAGAATCTCCTGCTAGAGGTTACATTCCTGATTTATCTTATTTGACGTAGAATTTAACCTTTTTTCTGCAGGACTTTGGAGATCTGAATATTATTTGTGTCGTTATTACCAATATTAGTGTCACCGATATCATTATTAATACTGGAATCATCCTCACTCTTACTACTTCTGTTTTCTATCCTTGCCCCGTCCATCGGGGTCACTGAACACTACAGGCAGGACACTGGGGCATATAAAAGGCTGATTAGTGTTGTCAGGTATTGGCAATAAATACGATGGGACTGGATGTAGGGAGGACAGGACTCTGATAGTGATCACCATGTTAAAGCAAGGTGCACTGGACTCCAGAGGTCATATCAAAGCTGGAAGGTATCTTCTGTCTGTTCTGCCGGTGGCTGTAGATGGGAATGTGAAGAAGACCCATGGTAGGGATGTGTCATGTACAACGTAGAAGGGTGTTTTGGTCTACTGGGGAATGGTGGAGGATCTATTAAATGGACAGAGTGGAAGGCAAAAATTAAATAGCAGGTGGATGGGGGTGGAAGGGCAGATGGAACCCTTGTGATGAGAAAACCAAGATAAGATGAGGTTTTGATGGAAACCAAAAGGAAGAGGTCCATAATGTTCCTCCAGATTGAAGAGGGATGGGTTAAACGCTTGGTGTTTAATGCTCGTGCAGCTCAATTATTGTTGCTAATGTTATATATCATCCTTGTGTCTTACAAAGCAGATGACATCATTGCACCCGTTTATTATCCCCAACTGACCCGACAAGGATGGACAGGAACCAGATAACCAAGAGGATATTGGACCTCACCCTGGAGATCATCTACCTGCTGACCGGAGAGGTGAGGAGGATTCTGGGAGGATCACATGATATCACTCTTATCTCTATTATAAAACACAGACCTGACCCGGTTAAAAGGATGTTAGGGTCACATGACCTCATTCTTACTGACATGACATTGTTACCCTGTTATTGCAGAGTTTCCCCAATGTGGAACCTGGTGACCATGTGACCTTCACAGTCCCTCCACCTCACTTTCGGATGCCTGAAAAGAAAAACGAGAAGAAGATTATAGAGGCCACCAAGAAGATAACTGAGCTGCTGTCTAGAGAGGTGAGTGGTGCCGGGAATTCTGGGACATGATCCAGGAACAGACAAGGGATGTGTCTGGGTGGTGACTATCATTGTGTGTGTCAGGTTCCTATAAGGTGTCAGGATGTCTCTGTCTATCTCTCCATGGAGGAGTGGGAGTATCTAGAAGGACACAAGGATCTCTACAAGGACGTGGTGATGGAGAATGAGCCGCCCCTCACATCACCGGGTAAGAGGAGAGAGCAGTACGGAGGGTCCACCTAGATCCCCCATCATCTGATACACACATAGAAACAATGTATTCAGTCAGTGTGTGTGTTTCCTACAGATGGATCCAGTAAGAGGAACCCACCAGAGAGATGTCCCCATCCTCTGTATTCCCGGGATTCCACACAGGAACATCATGAGATCCCTCAGGCCCGTCCTCTGCATTCCCGGGACTCCACACAGGAAGATCTCACCATCCCTCACCAATATCAAGTAGGTAAAACCGAGGGTCTCCCCGGACAATGGAGTGACATAAAGCGGTTTAGATGTTCTGCAATGGTATTCATCCTTGTAAATCGACATTGTGAAATGGGAGTAGACTAAACTCCACTGTCTCCTTCCAGGGTGAAATCCTTATTAATATTAAAGTAGAAGACATCGAGGAGGAAGAGACCCATATGAAGGATGATGAGCCGTGTACGGTGGAGGAAATGCCTTTAGAGATCAGCCCAGGTGAACTAGAGTCTCCGTATTCTGATCGGTCTCTTCTCTCATGTTATCCTCGGAGGTGGTTTTTTTGGAAGGTCACTTTCCTTGTACTTACATTTCACTTCAGGATTGCCCCACGGGATGCCCAGTATGAATGAGGGTTGTGCATTAATTGGTAGTGGAGAGCACCCTTCTACTATAGATGATGTCACCCATATACATCTCCTGGCTTTTGTCACGGAGTTCCGTTTCTACATAATCATAGAAATATTCTTGACTTATGAATGTCCCAAAATGTTTTTGTTCCTGACACTGCCCAGTGTTGGTACTAGGTAGAGTGCCTCATCCATAGTTCCTTGTGTTCTCCAATTTACATTGGGTACCTTGTGGGACAATTCTCAAGTGGAAATGTTCCTTTGCCATAAGGTTTTCTATTGCTCTTTATAGCCTCTTGGTCATCTCTCGTGCTTTGGGTCTGATCAATGAAGGCAGTTGACCTTATAGTCCATTGGCCAGGAGAATGATGACTACGCAGCTCGCTGATTAGCCATTGGAGTCCGTGTTGGAAATTTCCAAGGGTCAGCTGCTGTGGTAGGCTATGTCACTTTAAGTCCATTCAGTATCTGTCCTCCTGGTCCCCACGGCTGAAGTTTCAGATCAAGCTGACCGTTTGTAAGGCCATAGCCGGGAGCTCACGCGCTACTGCGCATGCGCGGGTCCCAGTCCTCCGGGTTGCTGGAAAACATGCGTTAGCGCGCACGACGGAATGTGGCGCACAGGAAGTGACACAGCAGCTGGACCCCAATGGGTCAGTACTGAACGGTCTTTCAGCTTGTGCTTGTGTTCCTGCTGATCTGTTGCCTGTTACCTTGACCCGGATTGCTGCTGACCTCGACTGATTGCGGCCTGCCCCAAACCTCTGCTTGTTATCTGGACTCTGCCTGCCCTTTCTGTACCGTGCTGACCGTCTGGCTTGAGCC